AATCCGATAATTGAACATCTAGGTACGAAAAAATGATCAAGCCTTGAAAACTAAATCAGAAAACAGCCTTTGTGGAATCTACACATTCCTGGCGTTGTTAATTTTATGTTCCCACTCTACATATACTTGTTTACAATTACCAGGCGAGACAAGTGCAGGAAAGAGCACCCTGTTAAATCTGATTCTCGGAGAGCAACTTCTTCCTTACTCAGTTCTCAGTACCACATCCACCATCGTTGAACTAAGATATGGAGAAATACCAAAGTTGGTGGCGCACTATAAAAACAAAGAATCTGGGAATACTACGAAGACCGTCCTACTAGACAAGCCATCTGAAGCTTCTAAGCAGAGTTACCTTCAACAGATTTTCTCTTTTGTCCACCTGAAGAAGAACAGAGAGATGGGCTCAGATTACGAAAAGATCGAGCTGTTTTGGCCACACAATCTGTTTAAGGTAAGAATCAATTATCGATTAAATATGTTTTGTGCAAACTTTACCAGAGTCACCAAAACTAGCCCTTCCGAAACAAACACTCCAGTGATAACTTCAAGTTTGTCCCTTTGTTTTGTAGGCACAGTAAAAACGACGCGTTTTGACAATTGCATTTCATTCACCCGCGAATCAGGAAAGTGTTTCGGGTCAAAACGCCAAAAAACGGTGAAAACTAAACAAAAAATGAATCAAATGACAAAATAACTAAAGGAAAACTTAAGATAAAACTTTACTTACATTCTGTGCCATGCGAAGTCGATGAAGACGCTTACAAAAACAATAAATAAATGCTTCAAACACATGGGCGAGAAACTCTGGCTTTTTGGTCATATGACCAGTTTTGGAAATATGCAAAAGAACACGAGGTGTCCAAAGGCAAAAACAAAAGAAAAAATTCACATTCTAGTTTTAGACTATACACCTTTTGCTGACAGCGTGTGCGTTGCAATGAAGGAGCAGTACATAAAACACGCTTTGTTAGAACAATTACCTGCTGACCTTTCTTACCTTGGCAGATCAAGGCGACGAAGTCATCACTTAGGACATGAACCATTACACTGGGTAGATGAGCTCAAAATTATTTGTTGATTTCGTTTTTGGTGTGCGCCAATGTTGGGCTGGTTCCATTGTAACACTTTGCGACACACTAATTCCATGACATAGCTGACATGCCCTGATTGGTGCAAACATGCCCCAATTCGGTGATTTGATTGGTGCGAAACACATACCACTCGATACGCTAACATATAGTTACTTTTTTCAATGAATAAACAGATAAGAAATACGCGTGCTTATTTATCATGACTATACTCGAAAAACGTCTGAATATTTAATCAGTGACGGCCAATGATCTGCAGACGTTTTGCATAACGTAAGTGAACAAATTTTACTAGAATTTTTTTTAAATTTACTTGGTACTAAACAGTAATCAGCCACAGAGATTAGAAACATTTCACTGGTTGTAGAGATGCAATTGGTCCATTTTTTAGTTTCTTTTTCTTTTTTTTTTTAAATATCTCTGTGTTAGCGTATCGTGTGGTATTTTGCTTGCACTAAGAAGATCGCCTCATTAGGGTATGTGTCCCACACCAATCAAATCACCGCATAAGGTTATGTATTTCGAATCAATAAGATCGCTGCATTAGGGTAGGTATGTTTCACCAATCAGATCACAGCATTATGGTATGCTTACACATATCAGAGTATTTTCCTTAAATGATTAGGGTACCGCAGTATGTTGCGGTGGAATTAAAGCAAAATTAATGCACATCAAGAGTGAGATATTTACAAATAATTGCGAGCTCATCCACCCAGCTTAGTAATGGCTCACGTCCTTTTAGACTGCAGTGCCAGCGTATTTTGGGCGCACGAGTGCACATTTTCGTATTAGGCCGCCATCTTAGATTTGGTAACCGTGGAGGATTGGGGCGAGGAAATATTAGTCGAGGGAGTAGGTGTTAAGTGGAAAAATGGGCAACGGGGGAGAGAGAGAGGAAGGAAAAATTTCCTTCCCTTCCCTCTCCCCCGTTGCCCATGGGATGGGACCTTTCAGGATAGTGGAATATCTATGGAGAACAATACGGAGGATATGCATATTAGTGTAAAGGGTTAACACATACGTTATCTTTGTGTAGGAAGCTGAACCATCCCTTTATTGTAAAGTTCTATGGTGCTGCTCGATTACGAACGATACTTGTGATGGAGATCTGCGAGGAAAACTTGAGGAGCCACATTTTTCGGCACAAAAGCAATATACCCGGTCTGTCATCAACACCTACTGCTGCCAGAAATGTGATTGGATGGGCAAAAGACATTGCCGATACTCTGAAATACATTCACAGACAAGGTATCGTTGACCGAGATCTCAAGTTGGAAAACATATTGGTAAGTTAAAAATTAGGACCACTGGCTGTTGTAAGTCTTTATTATTTCGTTTAACATATTTTGCTCGCCTTCCCCCAGCTTTCCTTGTTGTTGTTGCTGTTTATTTTTTACTTCTAACTTGCTTTACAAGCCCTCTTTTGAGCCCTAACAGCTTCCATGGAGGCTAAAGAGGTTGTTAATCGTTTTCTCATTACCTTTTCCTTCTATAGCTGTCACAAGGAAATGTTGTCAAAGTTGCCGATGTCGGTGTTTCCAAAGAAGCTAGAGCGATCACAGGTACCATGGTGGGAACTCCTATGTATCT